GCAATCAGGTTGGTCTGACATGATCTCCCCCTAATAAACTTCAGAAGCATGAGTATCATTTCAGGCTACTTGTCATGGATTTTAGATCCTACCTACCCCAGAAAATATGTGGGTAGGAAGAAAAGAAGACCTCTCACCATTTAGCTCAGTTTTGTGGTTATGGCACTTGCCCACTGGATGGGATATTGTGCAAAACCACACAGCTTCACCTAATAGAAATATAGCACGGCCGTTGGCCTTCTAGGGTGCCTGTACACACCATGGGGTTTAATCCTTATTAAATTAAATAGGTTTATAAAATGTAAACTTGTTTATTTTGGAGCATCGCATCAGTGTTTGCACTGACTAGGTTCCCAGTGTAAGGCTGTGTTCAGCCTGTAGCTCAGCCTGAGACCCAGCTGCAGGTAGCAAGCAGTTAACAGTAAGCCTGGCTGGAAGGCTGGGTACAGCTGCCATAAATGACCAATAAATGAAGGTAGATCTAGAGAGCAAGTTAAGCACTCCAGGACCAGAGAGTAATGAAGGAGAGAAGAGAGGGGGCTGTAGGAGAAGAACAGTGCCTGGCTTGCCCTTGTTAGGTTTGAACCAAGGCTGTAAGTTTTGATTTTGTTTATTTTTATGCACTTGCCTACTTTAGTGTTTGCTCTGTTTGCTAGCTTGCCTATGTAAAAAAATAAGCTGGAAACCTGAATTTGGAGCTGGCCAACCTTGATGAGTGACCTGCTCCAGCCCAGCTTTAGAAGCCCCTCACCCCGAAGGGGCTTAAATCTGCCTCTCCCCCTATCCCATCAAAATGCACTTGACATCGGGCTGCAGCAGGGCTCAGAGCATCCTCCAGCTCTCCTGTTGCAAGCTGCAAGGGGAAGCTACGTGCGTCCAGGAGTAGAGCAAGGCAGGAGGAGGATGGCTCGGAGACATGGGCCCTACCCCGGAAGGGACGGGGCTGAGTCTCTTCTGCAGGCTGGAGCTGGCTCTGCCAGTTGCTCCACTGTGTGTACTATAGCAACGCCGGCTTTCTTAATGAAGCTGACCACAAAATGCCAGCCGCTCTTGTAGACGAAGGCCGGGGAGTGGCAATGCAGCCAGCTGCCCCACGCCCAGTGAAGTTATGAGCAAGAGGCTAAATAAAACCTGGCTCAGCTTGGGGCTGAAGTGCTTGTTTTGGCTGCGGTGGGGGGAAGGGCTGTAAGGGGCAGATGGGACGGAAGAAGCCTCCCCTTCCTGGGGGTTTCTGGCCCTCGAGAACGAGGAGTATTAGCCTTCACTAGGCTCCAAGCAGTGCTAGACACCGACCACTTTCCTTCATGCAAGAGCATCCTTCACGGGGCTGTAACTAAACTTCTTGGCAGACCGTTGGACCTAGTCGGGCTGAGGGAAGATCCCCGGGGGATCGGACCCCATTAGGGTGGGTGGATGCAGCCTATGCCAAGACTTATCCCAGTACAAATAAGCCAAACCAGTCCTAGCACCAGCACACTTGTGCTAGGGGCTTGTGCCATGGCTGGACCTAAAGAAGCCTCTAAAACACCGTTGGCTTGACTTGGTGCCTGTAAAACATGAGCCATGTGCCCTGAAGGGATTTGAGGGGCACCAGTGTGCCCAGCAAGTACGTCCTCTCATGTTTGCTCCCCCCTGTTGTTACACCCACTGGGGAAAAGCAGGCTGCTGTCACCCCCTGCTAAGGTGTAGGATCCCTTTAAACCTCCATGAAAGACTGCGTATGGATAGGTATTTGGGGTGCTGAGCTGCATGCCACAGGCCACAGGGCTCTGGGACACAAGTTTCATAAACTGCTTTGACCGAAATCGGTGAAGTCTGAGACTACATTCAGCCAGGCTTATCTAAAACCCGTTTCAGCCATTTTGCAACCGGTTTATGTGCACTGCACTTCTGTTCTGTTATAGGGTTAAACCGGTTTCTGATGGCTTAAACCGGTTTATGTGCAACTTCTGTCCGTAGCCAGTGAGGGGAATATTAATAATGGAGCAGTGGGATGTCTTTGGATTGGAAAAGGGTCCAGCAGCCCTATTGCCACCCCCTGCCTAGATGCAACCGGGGCTTTTTTGTGGAAAGCCCCATAAGCAGCCAGAGAGCCTGTGCTGGGTGGGCCTGGGGGAGATGCACAGTCTGCGAGGGGGTGGGAAAGAAATGACTGGCTCTGGCTTAGCTCCTCTGCTTTGGGGGTATACAGAAGAGTCAAAGACTGGGCCTGGTTCTCCACAATCCCACTCCAAATTCTCCACCCCAGGCCTGCCCTTCCTTTCTGGGATGCAGCACATTTCCTGCACCAGTTTCCTCCCATCTTCCTCATGGTGCCGTTCATTTTTTGTCCTTCTCCACTAGGTGTTGCTAGTGAAGTGGGAAAACTTCTCCCATGCCTGTTGATAATATACCTGACAGCTCAGTGGGAGGCCGAGCCACAGCTTTTAGCACAGTGCATTTTTTCTGGTGCTCTGCTGCTGCTTTGGGCTCGGTGCCGTATAGGCCTGCAGGCTCCTCTCCGTATTATCGGGGCATCTACGGCCATGCGTTCAAGCTTTGTGACCAGCATCTCGTGTGCTGGTTCTCGCCTCCTTTCCCGACTCAGAAGGTTTCATGCAGTGGCCTGTTGGGTCTGGGAGGCTTATGACTTTAACACGTGTAAAACATGCATGCTGTTAGGAGGCCAGGCCAAAGGGAAGTGGCTTGGGTCCGTTGAGGTTTGTGAAGGTCGTGAGATGTAGGGAGGGAGTTTGGGGGGTCAGCTTCATTCTGCAATCTTGCATTGGTCCCTAGGAAAGTGCAGTCTCCTGCACGGATGAGCTTCAGAGGGCCCAGCAAGCAAATGGAGATTTTACAGCTGACATCTTGCAGTAACACCTTGGGGCATTCACTGAGATTGGGGCTTCGCTGTTCTGGGCCCTGATTCACAAATCAGAGAGCCTTTATCCTAGAAAGCTTTTGACCCATCAGTGAGCCATGGTAGAGATCATCCTCAGATCAGGGGTCGATGGCTAAGTAGGCAAGACAAACAGAGGGTCAATGGAGAACAGAGGGAGGTAAGGTGACTTGACCAAGGTCACAGAGCGAGTCGGTGGCAGAGCTTAGGCAAGATCCCCCCAGGTCTTCTGACTTCAAGCCCAATGTTTTCTTTGCTGCCTCTCCCAACCATGGGAGCCTCTTCAGTGAAACATGGTTAAGGGCTGCTGCTGATCTGTTTCTTGCCCTGAAATGTCACCTGCAGTTTAATTTTAATTTAATTTAAAAGTGAGCTTCCAACCTAGCCAGAATCTCAGACCCTGCATTATCCAAAGCTGCCTGCTTAGAAAGCTTTCCCGTTGCCTACTTCGGCCTGGACTGTGATGCTTTTGCAATGCCGAGGTGATACCAGTTGTCAGGGGCAGATTAAGAAAGCGCGTGTCAATGAAATTCGTGGTAAATGGATCTGACGTGAGTCTGCGCTCCTGCAGTTTCCATTCAGAGTAGCCAGAAGAGAAATATGTAGCCACGAAACACTGATCAGGAGGGCATAAGTTAGCATCCCTTCCATGTCTGTCAACACACTCGCCGGCTCCGCGGCGTAGATGTCATGGGCAGGGGAGACACCACCCTGATGGTGCTGGTCCAGGTGGTTTTGCTGTGCCTGGAAGGGGAGATCCCCTTTCTCCCGACCTTAAATGACTTGGTGTAGCTGACGGTAGGCATCCCTACAAGAGTCTGCAAGGGCTTCGCAATGGGAGGATGGGGATGGGGGATTGCTCTCGGGCTTTCCCTCTAGCCTGCTCCTTTGGCCTGTTGGTTTGGGACAGGTGAAACCAGGAGGCATCTGAACCCCATGGCCTCTGGCCTTGGGGCTTGCAGGGAGGATGCCTGCTATGGATTTGGGGGTATCTGGAGCCCCAGATTGAGTCTGCGGGTGGTAGCAATACACAGACTTGAGTGACTGAGCTCTGCTCAGCTGATGGACTTTGAAATGATTTGGCTCATTTGGCCTGAGACACAAAATTAAAATAAAATAAACCAACCAACAACAAAAAAAGCAGATATCATGGGGTTTAGATGGAGTTGGAGTCTACTGTTCAAATCCAGCCTAAACCCATGTGGACTGAGCCAGTCCTCAGGGCTGGTGGCTGAGCTACGTGGCATGGTGCTCAGCTTAACTCCTGGATGATGCCCACAAGACGGAGGTGTTTCAGCCTGTGTCTGTCCAGCCTCCCTCCCATAAAACGGATCTGCCCCTCGGCTAGGATACAAGGAACCTGCATGTCTCCCAGCCTGATATGAAGGCTGACAATTTAATGAACGCAGTTGCTTGGAAGGCTACAATAAACTGACCTACTCCATGCCTCGCTCTCAGTGGCAAGGCCATTTCTGAACTGATGAGGTGGATTTTAATCACGCAGCACGGGTTGAGGAGCAGCCTTTGCTGCAAGCATCCTAAACACCTGCTGCCTTTGATTAAGCAGAGCGGCTCTGGCTTCCTGTGACAGCAGTGGTCTCCTGGGCTGCGGCAGGCTGCATGCTATTGGGGTTGGGAGCTATGAATGGTGCTCGGGGCCATGAGTATTTTTGGATTTCCCCGGTGACCTCCCCCCAGATTTTGGCTCAAGGATCTTCAAAAGCAGTTGCTGCTTCTCTTTGCTGTGCAGCTGTTTTTAGAAGGGGGTGAGTTTTTCCTGCCTCTGCTTGCCAGGATAGCCCAAGAACTGACTCATCTGTTGGTGCTTCAGAGTGACTGCAAATATCAAACTATTTAAGTTGGTCCAATAAAAGATATCAGATTCACCCCAAGAACTTTGTCTGCAAATATGAAATCACTCATGGTCGAAGGTCCTTGCAACCCATGTGGCAGCAAAGCTGGGCAAGAGGCTTGCTCTATCCGCATGTCTGTACTCCAGAGGGGTTGGGGAGCAGGCGGGTGAGTGACTGGGAGACAGCAACCCCCCGAAGTGGGACTTCAGTGGGATGGACCAGCCTTAGTCATAAAGACAGCCTGCAAATAGGTAGTAGAGGAGGAATTGGCAGAGTAGAAGGAAAAACACACCCAGCTTCCCAAACTTGAATGGTTCTGCCCCATAGCAATGAAGGCAGAAGGGCTGTAGAAGAAACCAAGGGAGAATGGGATTACCCAAGTTAGATTTCAGCCTGAACGGCAGGTGTCTCTCTGAATCATAAAATCATCAAAAATGAGGGTGGGAAGGGACCTCCGGAGGTCACACCTAGTCCAACCCCCTGCTCCAAGCAGGACCAGCCTCAGCTACATCATCCCAGCCAGGGCTTTGTGTAGCCAGGTCTTAAAAGCCTCAGTCAAAGAGTCATAGAAAAATGGGGCTGGAAGGGCTCTCAGGAAGTCACTTAGTCCCATCCCCTGCTCAAGGCAGGGTCATGCCTGCCTATATCATCCCTCACAAATGTTTATCTACCATGTAAAAATCTTAAAGAAAAAAACTTGTAAAAATCTAAAAAGCTGAAAAATCTCTGGTGACAGGTCCCACAATCTCTCTAGGGAATCGGTTCCTTTGCCTAACCACTCTCAGAGCTAGGCAGTCCTTCCTATTATCTACCCTCAGTCTCCCTCCCTACAATTTGAACCCATTACTCCTTGTCCTGTTCCTGAGGACACAAAGAACAGCTGGTTGCTATCTCCTATTTGACAATCCCTTTTGTATTTGAAAGCACTTACCAAATACCTCCTCAGTCTTCCCTTCTTTTAGTCACCCCAATCCTTCCAACCTTTCCCCACGTGTCCTGGTTTCCAGACATCACCTCATTTGTGTCTTCCCTCCTGTTCCCAACCTGAGGGCTGCCTGAGGATCTTTGATGACTCCAAGGAGGCAGGTCCACACTTTAACGTCGCGCTGGAGAA